GACAGAACAGACCGAATTCAAACAGGGCTGGGGCAGGGAAGGGGGCAGAGTGTGTGCAAACTCCTGACGCGTCCAGGTTGGATTTCGCCCCAGCAGACCGTCAATTTCAGTATCAGATTTGCGCCCGGGAAGGCAGAGGCTGCAAACCGCCGGCTGGATCCGGCCAGGGGCTGAAGCCCCGGGCCTCAGCCCCACGCAACTGCTCCACTTTCAGAGTGCGCCTCGTCCCGCCAAAGTCAACGGGGCTTCGGGGGAAGCGGGGGCCCGGGTGGTCTGCAAGCGGGGGGGTCCGGTGCAGGGAGAGCGAGCTCCTGCCAGCAGCGAGCAGGAGCGTCGTGGGGAGCGGAGACCCGGGCCGCGCGAGGCAGTGGCGCATTGGGGGGGCAAATTCCAGCCGTGGAAGTGGCACCCCAGCTGAAGCCGATCTGCGTGGCGAGGCGTGCGGGTCTTCATAGCAACTTCCCCTTTGGGCACTTAGCTCCACTGACAAGGTGGGGTCCTGCACCTGAAGCGGCCAACTTTGCACCCCAATATCCGTCCTGCTGGCTGTCCCCCGCCCCAGCTCCCCCCTCCGACCTGGGCAACCCCCCCGGGCTGGAATTGCGGCTGTGGGAAGAGCTGCAGGGGCAGACTCCTGCAGTCTCCCCTTTACCTGGGTAGGTCTCCCGGCACTGCAGGAACTGGGTCCCCCACAGATTGCAGCCTCCGGCTCCTTCCGCCCTCTCCTGTCTTGCTGAACCAGATCAAAGGCTCCTGGAAGGGAAAGAGGACGCCTGCGATTGGTGGGGAGTGATTGGCCGTCCTAGCAGAAGAGCCAACCACAGAGGCTGGAGACCCAGGACTTGGAGAGGGGAGAACTGGGCTCCAGGGCTGGGCTCCATGGGGCAGTGGGTGGGAAGTCCCCCGAAGTGCAGCATCGCAGAGCAGGAAAGGACAGTTTCCTCCTCACTCTGTCTTTGCCAGGAGTCATTCTGGTGTCATCTGCAAACTTTTTCAGTGATCAAGCAGCAGAGGGGTAGCCCTGTTAGTCTGTAAAACGCAACAAAGTCCGGTGGCACCTTGAGAGACGAACAGAGGTAACAGATGACCTGCGTCTGACGCAGTGGGCATTCACCCCCGAAAGCTCATGCTCCAATAGTCTCTAAGGTGCCACAGGACTCTGTGTTGCTTTTTCTCAGGGATGATTTTCCCTTTCCTTTCAGGTCATTGATACAAACATTAAACAGCTCCGAGGCCAGACCCGAGCCGTGGGGACCCCACTAGAAACCCCCACGGCCCCGAAGATTTCCTGGTTACGGTTCCATTTCGAGACCGATCCGTTAGGGAGCTTTTCTTCCATTTAATGCGCCATGTTAACGTTTTCTCATTCTAGGATTTGAATCGAAAGGCCGCCCGGTACCCAGTCGAACGCCGTACAGAAATCTAAGTCTATTACATCAGTGCTTCACCTTTATCAACTGAGATCAGGGCCCCTCGCTCCACAGGCCTCCCCCAGTCTATGCCTACAAAGGGAGGAGGATTATCTCCTTTGTACAGATGGGGAAACTGAGGCTTGGAGCAAGCAAGTGACTTGTCCAAGGTCACACAGGGAGTCAGTAGCGGAGCTGGGAATCAAACCCGGTTCTCCTGAGTCCACCAGGCCGTCGGGTGCCCCCTGAGACAGAGCCGGTGCCCTATAACGCTTCCCTTTCCTCTCACCCCCAGAGTCCGCCTGTGAGGATGTGGCTGTACCTGGCCGCCCTGCTGGGGCTGTACTTCCTCCGCCGATGGTACCGGGAGCGGCAGAGTGTCGAGGGCCTCCCGGAGAAATACGTCCTGATCACCGGCTGCGACTCCGGCTTCGGGAACCTGCTGGCCAAGCCGCTGGACGCGCGGGGCCTGCGGGTGCTGGCGGCTTGTCTCACCCAGCAGGGCGCGGAGCAGCTGAGGAAGGCGACGTCGCAGCGGCTGCAAACGGTGATCCTGGACGTCACCCGGACTGACAGCATCGCCGCGGCCACCGCCTGGGTGAAGGAACAAGTGGGGGACAAAGGTGCGGGGCCCGGGTCTGGCTGTGCCCATCCCTCGCCCGCCCCGGGTCACGCCCCTTGCTAGACACTCATCACAGGCATATAGGTGCCGATTGTCCTATTAGCATGCGGCAGTGTCACACCCAGTTCTCCCGTGGGTGTCACCCGGGCTGTAGAGCAGGTTGGGGAGCTGTGACTGAAGGTTTTTGGTAATATTACCCTCCTTTCAATCATAGACTCATAGACTTTAAGGTCAGAAGGGACCATTATGATCGTCTAGTCCGACCTCCTGCACAACGCAGGCCACAGAATCTCACCCCTCCACTCCTGTAATAAGCCCCTAACCTATGCCTGAGCTATTGAAGTCCTCAACTTGTGGTTTAAAGACTTCAAGGTGCAAGAATCCTCCAGCAAGTGACCCGTGCCCCACGCTGCAGGGGAAGACGAAAAACCCTTTAGCTCTTTATGAATCAAATTAATCAGTTGCCTGTAAAAACACCCACACAAATTCACTCTCGAAGATTCATTTAGGAAACAATAAATAACGACACCCAAGCTCCAGCTATCCTGACATGACAACGAGGGAACGCAGAAACAGCCAAACAGGATCGGAACCAGGGTCTGGCTACCTCAGGAGCCCCATTCTGCCTGGTTTCCCAGCAGCTCTGGACGCAGCTCCGGGATAACCCATCCCCAGGACAGTTTCTTCCTGACCCCCAGGTCGGCTCACGCCCTGAAAGCACAAGAGAATGGGTAACATGTTCTGACGGCTCCCCACTTGCAATGTGATTTAGGGATCCCCCCACCACACCGTACTAGCAGGCTCTCAGGAGGTGACACCAGCCCCCAGTAACACACCGCGTCATGACCTGCTGCATAAAACAGGCCATAGGGCTTCCCTGAATTAACAGGGCTTTGGCCACACAACGAAGTTGTACCACTTTAACTATCCCGGTCTAGTTAACACGGTGCAGCCTCCTAGTGTGGAAGCAGAGCTACTGGCAGAAAAGTGCTAACACTATTCCCCGCGGGGAATCAACCAAACCGATGTAACACACCTTCTTCTTGGGCTATTTGCATCCACCCCAGGTATAACAATAGTGGGAAGCAATCACCCCCCTGCAACCGACCCAGTTATACCAGTCTGCGTGTAGACGACAGCCCTGCAACCCGACGGCACTCGACTACCAGGCTGTCTTGGCTCTCTGCCTGCTGCCCGGTGGGGGGTTGGCTGCCTGTCCCGGCCGCTGCCGTCGCCTTGCTGTGGGGCGAGCGCCCCAGAAATCGCAGCGCCTCTCACCCCGCGGCACACACAGCACAGCGGGGGTTGGGGTGGCAGGAGCCCACGGGCAGGAGATGGGGTTGGCGCCGACTCAGGTTTGGGGGGAAAGGTCGGAAAACAAGTCAGGCCTGGGTCTAGTTCTGCTGCTGGGTAAGTCCGTTGCAATTGTGCCCAGACTCTGACATTCCCCACCAATGGCTTTGCTGGACTGCGGGCAAAGACTGCAGATCCTGCTCCGGGACCCGACCGCATAAGGCCGGATGCTATCTGGCCAGATCATGCATTCGTCCTTCCCCTCCGGAGAGCTGGGTTCGAACCGGCTTTGGGCCCACACCAGGAGGGAAGGGAGCGACTCAGGATCTTTGACCGTATCACAAACCAACGTGCAGTCGTCGCTTTCTGATCAGGAGAGGGGTCGGACTGGAATATCAGAAGCGGGGCTTGGCTCAAGGTTGAGGGGCGCTGGCAGAGCATTCCGGGGGAGCCCAGGCGTGCAATAGCTGGATTGCAGCCCCCTCGAGTAAACAAGACGACACCTCGCTTGATTGCTTCCAGCTTGCATCTATGTTACTAACAGGTTTCAGAGTGGTAGCCACGTTAGTCTGTATCAGCAAAAAGAACAGGAGTACTTGTGGCACCTTAGAGACTAACCAATTTATTTGGGCATAAGCTTTCGTGGGCTAAAACCCACTTCATCACATGCATGCAGTGGAAAATACAGTAGGAAAATATATATACACAGAGGACATGAAAAAATGGGTGTTGCCATTCCAGCTGTAACGAGAGTAATCAGTTAAGGTGGGCTATTATCAGCAGGAGAAAAAAAAAAACGTTTGTAGTGATAATCAGGGTGGGCCATTTCCAACAGTTGACAAGAAGGTATGAGTAACAGTGGGGGGGGGGGGGGGG